TTTTCGCTGTATATGATTTAGTTGCACAGGTTTATTTGGTAGTCTGGTCCTAGCCTCGTTACTACTTCACCGAGGTTAGGCTAGACACTTACCAGCACATGGGGTCGGTTGTGCTGATAATACACTCTGCACTGTGTGCAGATCCTGGTACTGGAACATACGGACCGTAGCTTTGGGTTGCTGCCTTTAGTCTATTCGGAGATTCCGAGGTAGTCCTGCAGGTGTCCGCATGCCTTGGCGTCTTCTCATATCCTTTTATTCTGTTTCTTTTATACATTTCAGAGACAGTGTTGTAATAAATCTTTCGGACCTTTATTTGTAGTATTCCTAGATAGTCTGAGAAATTGTGACACCAGTCTTGGGTAGTTTACGTATGGATTGGTATTGACATCTTTATTAATATATTACGTTTCAGTCTTCCGCTTTTAATTCCGTTGTTATTATAATGTTGGCTCTTAATTGTTAAAGGATTAAAAAATAGAAAAAGGTAAATAATTCAAATGTTTAGCTTGCCTAACTTTTACTAGTATGTGCCATCACGACTCCCGAGGGTGAGAAAATCCGAGTCGTGACCAGATTTTGGTGAATGTGAACTTTCACCAAATATTCTATCCGCTATCACTACACAATCATTATGAAGTCGTAGGCGAAGAAAGGAGATTCAATTGAATAACAATAATAATCTCTACTATATTAAAAACAGAAAGCTTTATTTTTTTAGAGAAATGTTGTCCCGAATTTTTAATTTTTAAAATAAATTTCACATTAGAAAAATTAATATTTAATTATTTTCCTAATATTTAGTGTTATAAAGTCAACGAAAATACGGCTTATTAAAGCTTTTCTTATTTGAATTACTATATAAAAACATATAGGACACTAAAATCAACTAAATTTACCTAATATGACTCAAATAATTTGTTTATAACATTTTTTTATTGTGCGTAAACATATGAACTAGCTAGGAACATGCATATCTGAATTTGATAAAGTAATTTCAACGTTCCATCCAACGTACACTTTTCTCGCGAATTAGATATAAAACCTACTCCTATTGTATATGCTTTAAATTTTGTATAATTATTTTCTTGAAAGTGCAGTCCATGTTTAGGCTATAGTTTTAAAATTGTGTATACTCATTGACACGTGTAACACGTCGCAAAACTCATATCCCAAGACTAGTAATAATAATAATAAATAAATAAATAAATATGCTTCTTAAATATTTTTGATAGCTTAGATATATCGAGAGGTAGTCCATTGCCCATTTGTCATCCAAAGAAAATTCCAACATGCAAATGCATCCAACTTTCTGCAGAAATCACATAACTTAAACTTCAAAAACAAGAAAATCCTCAATACATCAAAACCCTAAACTCATCCATCGTTCTATAAATTTTTTCAAGATTTTGTATCCAAAAAAGGGTACAATACAATCATGGAGGCGTATGCTATAGTCAGCATCGTCATCCTTTCAGCGTTTGTCATTATAGTAATTTTCTTCACATTCTGTAAGAACGACAACAACAACAACAACAATAATAGCGAGCGTCCTGCAAGCATCGAGACGAGCCGAATGAAAAGCAGAGTTTCTGCTCGTCACACGTACGATGATAGCGGAGACGGAGACGGAGGAAACGTGCATGGGAACGGGAACGGTGATGGCGGTAGCGGTGCTACCGTCGTAGCTGGTGCTGTCGCTGCGGTGGCGCTGACAAGCATAGCTATTGATGCGAGCGGTGGTTATTCCGGTGGTCATGGCCATGGTCATGGCGGAACGGGTGATTAAGGTTGAATAGGTCAAACTGTACTTAGCTATACGGTTCTTTAGGAAAATGTTCTGCATTCATGTGGCTAGTATTTTTTCAGTTTGGTTCATTCAATCTTATTTTTGTGAAATAGTGGTTGCGATCTCGAAGTCTAATACCCCTTCGTTTTCATTTTATGTGATCCTGTTTGACTGAACATGAATTTTAAAAAACGAAAGAATTTTAAAATTTATGTTTTTAAACGTGCCATAATAATTTACGTGGCTATAAAATTTTAAGACTTGTAATATAAATATGCCATAACCACATGGTCATAAGGGTGGTCAATTGATCACCCTTTGTTAAAAAATTATACTGTGTATATAAGCAAAATATTACGTTTTAGAGGTATATATATAACACATATATTGAACACCCTTTATCGGATTTTTTTTTTGCTTGTTTCAAATTTGAATACCCTTGAGAAATTCATAGCTTCGCCACTGATAATATTGATGTGACTAATGCTTGTCACTAACGGTAAAATGAGAATTTCAAATTTGATTGCTTCTAAATTTAGAAAAAGGTGATATTTTTTGGAACAAATTAAAAAGAAAATAGGTTTATATAAACTAGTAACGAAGGAGTATTTTGTTTTTTTTTAAGAATCTTTTTTTAGTTTTTGTGTTTAAAAGATCTACAATAAGTCACTCAACACTTTTCTTATTTCTCATTCGATGTTCGATATTTGTACTGAAACTCCAACTAATTTAAATTTACATCGTGTAGAGCCTATTAAACGGAGAAATGCTTCCTGCGATAATTTTTTGCCATTCATAAGCTCGAGTCCCAGTTGACACAAATTAAGGGCACATGTACATGTTAAAAGCACTTTTTTCTAAAAATACAAAAAAAAATTAAAAGCGCTTTTAGAATTTATACGGGATTTTGACACGTTAAATCATATTATTCGTTTAAGGTTGTCAATCAATGTAGTTAAACAAATTATCTGTAACTACTCCTCAACATTAAAATTATGTTGATCTTGTACAATAAGAAGATGAACAACTATGGAGTTCTCTAAATAAAGTCATTTATTTAACTAAATTTCGCAAATTTTTTATTAGATTGAAAATAAATTCAATTGCCATGACTATCTTAATTCTTTCCTTAAAATGACAAATTTCGTAAAACTTTTATTATATTAAAAATAAATTCAATTGCCATGACTATCTTAATTCTTTCCCTAAAATGACCAATTTAGTAAAATANATTCTCTAGGTAAATCACCTCACAACAACGATCCAGTATAATTCCACTTGATCGGGTCTGGGGAGGGTAATATATACGCAGACCTTACCCCTGCCCTAAGGTAGAAGGTTGTTTCCTAATAGACCCTCGGCGTCCTTCCCTCCAAGAAATTCCTACCTTACTCTTGGGAAGACTCGAACTCACAACCTCTTGGTTGGAAGTGAAGGTTGCTTACTATCGGAGCAACCCCTCTTGTCTTCTAGGTAAATCACCTTCTTGTGTAAAAATGGTATTTTGATGTATTGTGGTAGCGTGTTTGGCAAGTGCATCGGCTACCATATTACTATCCCTATAAAAGTGAGAAACCTTAATATTCCTCTCCCTCGCCCTATCAATGATATGTTCCAGACTATTTTCTAGTTGCCAAGGTGGTTTGATCTTCCTTTGGATCATGTTAACGACCAAGAGTGAATTCAAACAATGAGGGAAGTTGGGTAAGTTCTATGTGCAACACCAGTCAATACCAAATTGTGCAGTGATGTTTAGCTTAAAGTATATATATATTTGTATGTATATCGCCTCATGTTTTACTTTTGTTTCATGAATTTAGGATGTGAAATGTATTGATTTATGTTAATTTGATGTGTTTTTATTTGTAGGAATAATCGGGGAGCATCGGAGGCGATATGTGCGAAATTAGAGCCAAAACGGACGAAAACAGGGAAAGGGCATATTTCAGCGCCACAGGTGGCGCCCAACCCTACCTGTGGCGCCAAAAACAGAAGCTAAAATATTGGAGCGTCGTGGAGGGCGCCAATGACGTGAATTTTCTCCAATTTCGCCCGGGACAAGGTTATTTCGGCCCTAAACCTACCCAACATGTATAAAAGCAAGACTAAACATATTTTTTGGAGGGGAGACGCCACTTGGGACAAATCTAACATACTTTGAAGGAGAATTCACGTAGGAGAAGACACACCACGCTTGGAGGAGGCTTCTAACTAGTTTTTCTTCTCTTCTCTTCCTTTAATCTCATAGTTTATTTGTTCTAGAGTTTTGGGTGCTACATGAACGTTGTAGTTTGAAGCTTGAATTGTTCTTATTATTTTATCGTATTGGTTTATTTATTCAATCTTGCGCTTAATTATTTGATTGCTTGATCACCAATTGAATACTATCTACGAATCTAGGATTGAACTCGGGAAAGGAAATTCTAGATTGCATATAGGATTGAGTAGAGCAAGATCTTAACTCGGTGTGTGTGTGTGTGGG